GTTGTGTGCGTGTTGTGTGCGTGTTGTGTGTCGTGTGTGTGTGTGTGTGTCGTGTATGTGTGTGTGTGTGTGTGGAGTGTGTGTGTGTTTGTCACCCCTCCATCTCCTCCGTGACTGACGTCTGCTCTTTCGTTCTCCCTCGCCTGCACCGTCGACTGCCGCCGCCAGGACGTGGTGGCTGAGCTGGAGAGTGCGCAGGAGGACTTGATCACGGTGGATGCAAAGCGCGCCCCGCACGACAAGCTCGAGTGCATCGTCACCTGCGCCAAGAACGTCTTCACCATCCTCCAGAAATCAGCTTCCTCACAGCAGGTACTGCATGCTCTGTGTGAGTGTGTGTGAGTGTGTGAGTGTGTGAGTGAATGTGTGTGTGTGTGCGTATCTGTGTGCATGCGTGCTTGAGTGTGCTGGGGATCTTTTCATCCACCTCGACAAACGCTTTTGTGGTCTTGTGCAAGGTTTCGCTTTCTCATTCTCATCACAACACAACCTCGTACATGTGTGCATGTGTGCGGCAGGCTGCCAGTGCTGATGACTTTGTACCAGCACTCATCTACACACTGATCCAGGCCAATCCACCCAAGCTCTACTCAAACATCAAGGTGAATCTTTTGAAATGAATCGCCCCGCCGTGGTTCCTAACGTTCTCTGGCATACATACAGAGATTTCCCTTCCTTTTCACAGAAACACAACACAACACACACACACACAACACACACACACACACACACACTACACAACACAACACAACACAACACAACACACACACACTACACAACACAACACAACACAACACAACACAACACACACACACACACACTCACACTGTCGCATGTGTGGCCTGCAGTTTATCCAGAACTTTGGCAACCCGCGGCGGCACGAGGCCGGAGAGGCCGGGTACTACTTTACGAACCTCTTCAGCGCGGCAGAGTTTGTGCGCCGGCTCAGCGCGTCGCACCTCAAGATGACGCAGGAGCAGTTTGAGAGCCTCATGGACGGCGACGCAAGCTGTACGTGCGCGGAGGGGTTGTAGCGTGTGTGCATGCATGTGCGTATATGCTTGCATGTGTATGTGTGTGTGTGTGTGTGTGTGTGTGTGTGTGTGTGCGGCGGGCTGCCGGTGTGTGTGCGCGCATGCGTTGTGCCGTATGAGTGCTGGTGAGTGCTATCTGATGGGGTGATATCCCACCAACGTGCACCCCTTGCGACTCCTTTTTGCTTCTGCGTCCTTTCGCTGTTATTTTGGTCCAACAGCGGTGACGGAGGGTCTGGAGTCGATCAAACTCATGCGCGACAGCGTCGATCGCCTGCGCCGCCTCGAGAACAAGCAGCGGGTTCGTCCCGTGAGCAATGACTCGGACACGTCCACGTTCACATGCATGTGCTGTTGACGTGAACATGTACGTTTGGTCGGCTGCGTCTTTGCGTGCTCACGTGGCTGTTGTTGCGTGCACACATTGGCAGGTATTGCAGCGAGATGTGGACTTGCTACTGGACACACTTTCTGAACTATGTGCTTCAGCTGTGAAGGTAGCACGGCAACACTGCTCATGATGGCAACATCAGCCACAGTGCGCTTCGAGCACCTTGTTGTGACGACATCACAAACACACACACACACACACACACACACACACACACACACACACACACACACACACACACACACACACACACACACACACGCTGACTCACACCTTCCCCTCGCCCTCACGTTGATGTGTGCAGCCGATTGGCGGGGCGCCAGATGCAGAGGTGACGGAGTACACGCGCATGCTCCTGACGCGCGACTCGAGCGAGGGGAAGAGGGCCCGCCGTGCAGTGTCGTCGCCGGCGTCACCGTTTGCTCGCCGAAAGTGGTCGGAGAACACAGATGCAGACGCCCGCAGCCTTGGCGATGGTGGCGATGGTGGTGGTCGCGCTGGTAGTGTGGTGGAAGAGAGCAGCGAGGAGGAAGAGGAGGAAGAAGAGGAGCAGGGGGAGGAAGGAGAACAAGAAGGAGAAAGTGAAGGTGAAGGAAAACAAGAAGAAGAAGAAGAAGAGGTGCAGGGCCGAGGAGATGATGTGGCTGTGGGAGAAGCGGAGACAGCAGAGGAAGAGGAACAGGGAGAACATGACAGCTGTGTTGATGCACAGGCAACAAGCGACAACGATGATGAGCAAGTTGATGACGTGGAGCGTGTGCAGGCACAGATCAGTGGTAGTGTCTCAAGTGTGAACAAGCAACGCAACGAGGAGAAGGAGGAGGAAGAACAACAACAAGAAGAAGGAGAAGGAAAGGGAGAAGAACCGGAGGAGGAAGGAGAGGCAGAGGAACGGCAGAAGCAAGCTGTCGGCAGGAATGACGGCACCGCTGCTGCTGTCGGTGCTGCCAACGCTGCACCTGAGGAGCACCGTCCCAGCAAGACGTCTGGCAGTTGCGAAGATGACAACGACCTCACCAGTGACCGCGATGGTGACAGCCGCCCTGCTGCCAGTGATGGCAGCAGCAATGACGATGACGACGAGCATCATGACCAAGCGTGAAGCGCTGTGGTGGGGTGCGTGTGCGGCGTGAAGCACTGTGTCTGTCACGAATACGCCTCATTCCACACCGCTCTCTGGCCCCCTCACTGTTTGTAGGCTCGATATTGTTCTTACTGATGAATGCTTTGTCAAGTCCAATCGCCACGCACGCGTCTATTGTTTTCAGTTACTCCCACGCCAACGCACGCAGTCCTTGCCATCATGCATCAAGGGCACTGGTGGCCCATTCAACAAAGTGCGTCATGTTAGTCGTTGGTTTTGGCTGTCAGGCAATTAAACACACTCATGTGCTGCTCAGATAGAGAGGTGCAGTGAGTGAGAAGAAGAGGGAAGGTGGAAGGCGCAAAACAAGACATCGATAGCAGGCAACACACACACACACACACCATGTGACGCTGTGCATGCAGTTACATATGCTTGCGCGCACATACATAGGATGATCGTGTCGACTGTCTCGCACACATAAGGTGTTGTCTGTCGACTCACAAACACACACACACACACAAAGATGCACAAAGACAGTCACACATACACAAAGATACACAAATATACACAAAGATCCACACACAGACGCACGCACACACGCACACACACACATACACACATACACAGAATCAGTTGTCGGGCACCTTTGCTGGCGGTTTGCATTCACGCTTGTGTGCGGCCTTCCAGTGCTGGCGCTGGCATTCGCTTGAGCAGTACGCGACCTGTCGACACCGCCCGCACAGCAGCGGGCCCGTCAGGAAGCAGTTACACGCTGCGCACTGCGGGCCGCGGCACTTGCGCCGTGCTTCGTTGAACCGCTGCTTCCACGCCTCCAGCACAAACGGGTTGGCCCCCGCTGCCTTGGCGGCCGTGTGCGCGTGCTTGTACAGCGTGGCCATGGTTGGCCAGTTGGACGGGTAGATGCGCTCCCCCAGCTCCGCGCACCGGCCCCACGCCAACATGGACCCCTTCATGTCCTTCGCCTTTGCCTTGTCGTTGGCCGCCTGCAACGTGGCCCGAAACTCCTCCACCACGCGCGTCTCCAGCGCCAAGCTGCCCTCTTCTTCTCCATCGCCTGCCGTCGCCGTCGCCGTCGCGTCGTCGGCCTTTGTCTTCTTCTCCGCCGATGGGGACGACGATGGCAGGTGCAGGGGCAGGGCGCGTTCGCATCGTGGGCATTGGCAGGTGAAGTAGTACAGCTCCTGCAAGGCCTCCCGCCGCTCCGGGGTCGTGTCCATGAGCTCAATGTAGGAGATGCACACTTCCTCGCCCTCGGCAATGTCCGAGACGGCGCGAAGCACGATGGAGGGCGAGTTCAGCCGCGCGCGGGTGCTGTTGGGGTCAATGTACTGGCACGCGTTTGGTCTGCAGGAATGATTGCAGAACGCCATGCGCAGATAGAACCCGTAGGTCGTCATGCCCGGGAACCGCTCAGATGACAGCGCAAAGGAGTTGAGGTGGATCACGGCCAGCAGCTGCCTGAGGTCGTCCAGTGACAGGGGCTCCACCCCGTCGGCGTTCTCGGTTGGCTGTGGCTGTGATGGCGCGTCTGAAGCGGGGTGTGCTGTGGCCTCGGGGTGCAGGAACTGGAACAAGCGCTGGGCATCCTCGTCCAGGATATCCTTGCGGTCTTGGAAGATGGGATGGTCTGGATCGTGCCCTGGCATGTACGCATTGAGGAGCCCAAACCCAACGCTGTCTGCATCCGGCCTCGACAACAAGGACTTGGCCAGCACAAAGTTGGGCTCACCCGCGTTCCTGGATGAAGGAAGCATGGAAGCAACGTGAGAACACATCAGCGTGCACAAACGCACGCACACACCAGCGTGCACGTACAGTCTGACGCACATGCACACACATAACAACATGTACAGCCGTACTCCCCCCCACACGCACACTACACACACACACTACACACACACACACTACACACACACACACACTACACACACACACGCACACTACACACACACACGCACACACACACACACACACACACACACACACACATACTTGAATTTCTTGTTGGCTGGAGCGGAGAAGCAGACCGCTGGCTTTTCACTCAGGATGGGTGTGCCTGCTTTGATGGGCATGGTGGCCACCAACCCCTTTCGTTTCCCCGCAATCTCCCGCACCTCCACATTCTTCAGCTCGGCAATCGCCGCAACCACGTCTTCCATCTCGATTGTGTTCGACGAGCAACAAGCCAGCAAACAAGTAAGGCAAGAAGCGAGGCTCGCGCAGCGTGTTCTGAGGATTTGCGAATGATACCACTGAAATTTCTAGCCAAACGATTGGAAGGACCAGCCAGCTTGCTGGCGAAAGGAAGGAAGACGAGCAGTCACTTACGCTGACATCATCATCACCTTCATCATCATCTTCATCGTCATTGTCGTCGTCGTTGTCCTTGTCAAGCTCTGAGCTGCGCCAAGGCCCCTTCCCAAGCACTATCCAAGCCTTCAAAGAGAATCATGACATCTGGAACACGCAGTCGGAACAGCAATGAGAGTGACAGCGGCAAAGAACCGCTGTTCACCTTCACGCCCAAGCACAGGTGATTGCTGCTGTTGTTGCTACTGTTGCTGTTGCCGCAACTGTTGCTGTTGTTGCTGTTGCTGTCATGATAATTGTTGTCACTGTTGTGATGACTGTTGTGCTGTTGTTGCGTGACGCTGAGCTCATGGCACAACACGTACAACACGCACGCACACGCACGCACACACTCGCTCACACACATTCACACATTCACCCACACACATTCACACACACACACTCTCTCTCTTACTGTGATGACAGGTTTTCGACACAGAACAACTTCATGCTTGGTGTCACGCTGGGCCCTTGGCTAACCGTGCTGTGGAAGTACGGCTACGCGATTGAGTGGAAACACTACTGGTTTCGGGTCCTCTTTCTCACGTTTATGGCGTGCCTCAACTCCACCCTTTCGTTTCTGGAGTGGCTCTTCTTCCGACACCGTATTCGCAGCGCTGTCATCAACAGGCGGCCTGTCTTCATTCTCGGTCAGGCACATACGCGAACACACACACACACACACTCATGCGTAGATGCTCAAGTGTACAGCACCCTTGAGGGTGCAGCTTCATGACACTCCCGATTCACTCTCCAAGCACATGCACAACACACGCACACACATGCTCGCACACATGAACACGTACAACCAAACCCATAACCACACACAATGCGCACTACACCCACACACATCTTGAGTGTTTGCTCATGGCTTTTGCCCCCGCGTTCCCACACACTAGGTCATCCTCGTACGGGCACAACCCACCTGCACAACCTCATCTCCCTGGACGATGACGAGTTCTTTGCGCCCACCACCCTGGCCGCTGGCTTCTCTGCCGCCTATCTGCTCCTCCATCCCGTGCGGCACCTTCTGTCCGGCGTGCTCAGCGATACTCGCCCCATGGACAACATGGCGCTGACATTTGATGTCCCACAGGAAGACGAGCTGTCCTACACGGTTCGTTGCCCCTTGTGTTGGTGTGTTGGTGTGCATACGTCTATGGTCGTGACCTTGCATGGCTTGCTGTTTCTCTGTCGTGATTGTTCTCCTGGGTTCCAGGGGTTGGCTCCCTTGCAGTGGTGGTAAGTTTGCCAGCCTGTTTGCTCACGTGTATTCACATTTGCCAACCTGCTTGCACGGTGTGCTACAGCAATCCACTCCACTGCTGTCCATGTACTCCCCGCTCGTGTTCATGACAGAGGAGCCCAAGTTCCGCAAGTACTTTCGAATGCAAGACGTGTCTCAGGACGAAAAGAAACGGCAAGGACTCGTGTCTCTGCACACGCGTGTGTTTTTGTTTTGTTGTGTGTGTGCGTTTGTTTGTGTGTGTGTGTGTGTGTGTGTGTGTAAGTGTGTGTTTGTGTGTGTTTTGTGTGTGTGTATGTTTTGTGTGTTTTGTGTGTGTGTGTGTGTGAGTATGCGGCCCGATCAATTGCTGGTGTGGTTGTATCCATGGGTATCGCACCACGCTCCCCTTCTTGTGTGCGGCTTACTTATTACTTATGCCTCCTGCACCTCGACATGACAGATACACGGATGTGATGCTCGCCTTTCTTCAGAAGCTGGCCGTGCATGCGCAGGGTCGCCGCTTTGTTCTCAAATCTCCAACCCACACAGCAAAGGTGCACATGTGTTTTGCGGCGCGCTGGGTCGGATTTTCATCACATCATGAGCGTCGGGCCTGACGGTTCGGGTGGCAATGAAAGGCACATTGTACCACGCCTCACGACTGCTTCTACTACGAGATGGCGAACAACACACACACACACACATACACACACATACACACACACGCACACAGGTCCGGTTCTTGCTTGAGCTGTTCCCTGAGGCGCAGTTCATCTACATCCACCGCCACCCGTACCGCGTGTTTCGATCCGCAATGAACATGGCAGGTCAGGGCGCGCGCGCGTGTGCGTCTGTGTGTGTCTGTGTCTGTGTCTGTGTGTGTGTGTCTGTGTGTGTCTGTGTGTGTGCGCGTACTTTTGTTTTATGCATTTGTCTAATTGCCAGTTTCAATTGCCCTCACGCCATCATACATACACGCGCCCACGCAACCTTTCACGTACACAGACAAAACTTACTGGTACAGCTATCTGGCCACACCGACTAACGAGCAAGTTGCGGAGTTTGTGATGCACCAGTACGAGGAACTGTTTGATGCGTACATGGAGGATCGGTCCCTGATTCCGGAAGGAAATTTGGTCGAGGTCTCCTTTGATGAACTTCAGCAGCAGCCCTTGCAAACGGTGCGACTGTGTGTGCATGCATGTGCATGCATGTGCTGTGTGTCTCGTGTTGCATGGGCCTGTATGGTTTCGTGTCTGTGTCTGTCTCTCGGTCTCGTGAGTTTATGTGTGTGTATGTCTGTGTCTGTCTGTCTGTCTGTCTGTCTGTCTATCTGTCTGTCTGTCTGTCTCTCTCGCTGTGTTTCATGCACATCACCAGGAACACATTCCCCTCATCACTGCATCATTGCTTTCGTGCGGCTGGTCGCAGATGGAGCGCATCTACACGACCCTGCAGTGGACCGGATTTGACGACCGCGTGAAACCAAAGCTGCAGCGCTATCTGAAGAGTCTTCGCGGATTCAAGAAGAACGCGTTTGAAACGCTGACAGATACGCAGCGGCAGGAGGTGAACCGGCGATGGAGGAAGAGCTTCAAGGCGTTTGGGTACACCATGCAGGAGAAGCAAGGCGCCGTGAACATTGCTGGGCACTAACGCAACGAAAGGGGTAGTGTGTGTGTGTGTGTGTGCGTGTGTGCGTGAGAGTGGGTGTTTGTGTGTGCGTGTGAGTGCGTGAGTGAGTGGGTGCGCGCGCTTGTGTGTGAGTGTTTGTGTACGCGAGTGAGTAGTGAGTGTGTGTATGTGAATGTGTGTGCAAAGCGAAAGGACGTATATGGATGAATGGTTGCCAGCGCGTTTGTTTGCCAGTGCGGTGACATTCATGGCGCCCCACTCCTCCCCGCCACAAACTCGCATCCACAGGCCATGAGGGAAGACCTTGCTTTCAGTCGCTTTGCCTGTTTGCTACTGAATTGAATAGTAAACCGTTTACAGTTACGAGGCACTCTCCACACATGCAGGGAAGCAAACACAAGCAGGAAAAGAGTAACGGTAATGATCATGAGTAGAGAGAAAAAGAGAAACTGGATACCAGCGTGTGAGCACACACACACACACACACACACACACACACACACACACACACACACACACACACACACACACACACACACACACACACACACACACGCTCACACTTTCTCTTTGGTACACAAATTTGTACAAGACAGTACAGACACCGATGATAGCATGCTGGTTGCCAACGCGAGGCAAGATTGGTTCGCCAGCCAGAGAAGGTATGGAGGGATGTAACTCAAGATTAAGCCGGGATATGCACGTGGATGCGTAAATGTGTGTATGCGTGCATGTGTGTTTGTGGTTGTCTCATAGCACAGGGGAGAGGGCGAATGAAAGCGGTCAGCAACATTGCTTCTTTTGCTCTGTCGTTTCGTTGACATTCACGGTCCCTTGATTTGGTGAGGGTGTCTCTTCTCCTGCAAGAAGCAAGAAGCAAGAAACAGACGTGTGTGTGTGTGTGTGTATGTATGTGTGTTTGTGAAGGAAGAAAGTTGATGGGTTGACACACATTCTCGGGTTTTGTGCATGGTATGCGCACCTGTCAATCCGATAAGCTCCTTTGCAATGTCCACGAATGTCTCAGAGATGCCTGCAGAGAGTGTGTGGGTGTGTTGGGAACGTGTGAGGGTGCGGATAACAGAGAGAAAGACAAACACACACACACACACACACACACACACACACACACACACACACACACACACACACACACACACACACACACACA